AAAAAAAAAAAAGATAGTTAATTTTATGTCACACAAATTTTAATCTCAATTTTTATAAAAGTATCAGAGGGAATAATAAATGACAAATGACACAACTCAGAGGTACCAGAATATTCTTGCAGTTTCAGAGTGTCTCCCTACATGGTAATTTTATATAGGGAAATTGCGTGGACTTCACACAAGTGATCAAAGTTTCATTCACCAATAATGAAGAATCAATACCCAGCACCCGCTACCTGCCTGGGCATGAGGAATACCATCACAACTTCTGCGATGCCTGCAAAGACACAGCCACCTGAACCCCAGGGGTTGTTCTGTGAAACAAGTGACCTCACCTATCCCAGAAAGCCACTATGGTGAAAGACTGGCTGAAGAACTTATTCAGGTGGAAGGACACCAAGAGATATGATAAGAACCACACATGTCCAGGATTAGATTCTAGATGACAAAGAAACATGTTATAGAGGATATTGTCACAGCATCCAGGAAACTGAACAGAGATCAAAGATGAAAATTGTGGTGGTTTAGGTAAAAGACTGTTCTCAGGAAATAGCGGGTATTTGGGGCTGGGGAACATCATGGTTTGCAACTTGCTCTAAAAAAAAATGCCAAAAATAGGGCCCTCCCTGGTGGCACAGTGGGTTAAAGAGCAGCACTGCAAAACTAGCCACAACCTCCTCAGCATGAGTTTGTTCCCACCCAGGAAGCTGACCCACATGGCGTGGCAGACCTCTCCTGACCCGCCCGCTGCTCCCCTCAGCAGTGTACTTCGACAGTCTTACTGTTCTGCTCCCCACTCTGTCTCTGGTGAAGCCTCTCACTGCCCAAGCACCTCTGGCCTGTATCCCAGCTCTGTATGCATAAATAAATAAATCTCTAAAAAATGTTAAATATATATATGTAATACTGTAAAGCAACTATGACAATACCCAGCACCAGCTGGGAATCTGGAAAGAGGACATATGGAAATTTTACTATTGTGTATTTGAAATTATTTCAAAACAGAAAATTTCTAAATTGCCCATGTGACACTGTCTACTGCAGGCTCCCCGTGCGGTCCCAACGTTCAGCTGTCTTATGGGTGACCAAGCTCCTCCAATTCAGCACCTCACCTCCTAACCCATTCTTCTCCCCTGAAGCTTCAAGATGTAGCCAAATACAGTGGAGGCGGGCCGGGCTTCATCCTCCTTGGGTGGCTGGAGCTCTATGACTCCATGCCTCCCTCTGGCTGCTGGCCTGTTAGGATGCCTTCTTCTGGGCTGTGCCTCCTCTAAGAATCCTTTGTGCTGGAGGAGAGTGTACTCCTAGCCTCTGCAAGGAAACTAGATGTGGAGTTGGACTTTTATCCCTACATGAATAAATGAATGAATAAGTAACACCCCTAGCCCCCAGAGTCTTCACCAACTCTTCTGTATGTTTCTCCCTAGTCTCTGACCCAGCCCTGAGCTCACAGTGCTTGGAGGTGGACTTGGAGGCTTTGGATATGGGATTGGGGGGCCGTCCCCATTCTCAGCAGAGTAACAGTGTAGGCTGCTCGATCAACTGATGCAAGGTTGACTGAGAGCCAGAAGGTGTGGGCTGTTCTGGGGGCTGGGGGCTGCCTTCAGGGAGAGGTGGAGAGTATGTGTGTTTGTGAGTGTGTCCATGAGATTCCTAGTATGTGCTTGAGGTCTGAAAACAACTTCTCAGGCTCAGGCTTGGTTGGGCCTGACTCTGTATTTCATATGTTAAGTCCCCATGAAATGCTCTGTCTGCTCTTGAGGATCGTGCCTGTGTTCACCAGTATCTCAGCCGCCCCTGGCTTCAGCTTTGGGGTGCCTCTGGGTCTATGTTAATCTCCTGGCTCTGTATGTCCTCTGCTCTGCGTGCGCGTTGGGGCAGGGGGTGTTCACGAGGCTGGGTGTGTCTGCCACTGCGGGTTAGGCCCGCACGGAGAGTTTCAGTTTCCGAGGGTCTACCCGCCCCAGGCTTTGCGGGTGGAGGGTGGGCAGGGACCTCGGAGGCCGGGCGGGGGGCGGGGGAGCGCAGGGCCGTCCGCCGTGCTGAGAAGGAAGGGGAGCCACGAGAAAGTCGGAACGGAGTAAGCGTGTGTCCCCAACCCGGAGGCGGGGCGGGGGGCGGGGGCTCCCCTGGAGCCAGCACCATTGTGCAACCCACGGCGACGACGGTGTGGCTGTCAGTCACCACGAAGCCCGGGTTATCCTGAGTCTCCAAGTAGTAAAATGGGTCCCAATATAATTTACCCACTTCAGAAGTTAGGTTTGGAATCGGTATTGTAG